ATGGAAGGGGAGCCTCGGCTCAAACCTGAGTCAGAACCCGGGCTTAGTGTGCAGTGTAGACAGACCCTCCATGTGTCTGTCTGAAACTTGGATACCCACCTGAGCTGTGTACGGATAGGAATCATCTGAATCAATGCCGTTATTTTTGATGATGTACTGGAAGGCGTTGGTCATATATCCGCCGCTGCAGCCCTGGTTCCCGTACACAATGGTACAGTCGACTAGGTTCTGTGCGCTGAGAGACACCAGGTTTCCAGTTTTCAGTTTCACCTGGGCTTCTAGGGCACCGACAGCACTGAAAGCCCAGCAGGCCCCACAGGCCCCCTGGAAAAGCCAGAGAGATGCGCTCAGCCACTGCTGTGATGGGCACCCATGTCAGGAGGGGAACAGATTGAGCCTCCCACCTGATATTTCACATCCGTAACACATCCTTTGTCCCTCCAGTCCATGGAGTCAGGCACTTTGCTGCCAGGCCGTGGCCTGTAGGTGGAATTCCGGTCAGGTCGGTGGGGAAGTTTCACTCCCGTTAACAAAGCAGCCACTTCCTCGCTGGTCTAGTTAAAAGAACACACACACCCCTTCAGACTGACGTCCCCTCCGATGTACAGACTGGCCCCGAACACTGGGGACATTCGGATACAAACTCTGCGGCTCAGGTTCAACTCTTGGTCATTGATACAGTGTTTTCCTTTATGCAGTGAAAACTATGAGCACGCCTGAATGCCGGGGATCAGCCCGGCTGTAGCTTTGTTTGCCGGGAACTCTGGATTCTGTGATTCTCCACATGCTAATCCTCCTCCCCCCGTATATTGCTGGGGATAGAACCCAGGACTAGCGCTGCCGGAAAGTTTTCAGGGGGGGGGCTGAAAAATACATATTTGGGTCGACTGAAACATTGTGTGAATTCACCTTGAATTTGCAAAATTATTTCAGCAGGGGAAAAAAATTCAAAACTAGTCAAAATGTTTGGATTCAAAATGACTTTTTAGTTCAAATTTTACTTCGATTTTA